TACTGACTGGACTGGAATTTCGCGTGCGTCAAGACTCGCGTCGTCACCTTCTGGGTTCAGAGAGGAACGAACCTTCTGGTGCGCCCGAAGACATCTCGCGTTGTGCTCCCTTCTCATGACCCGCAGACTTCGGATACGACTCGGGTCGCCAGCTGATGTGCGGGGAGAGAACTGGACGACGCAGAGGCGCACTGAGGATGTCCCCCAATGGTGCGTCTGAGAACATCACGCTGTGTATGTGTCTCTGATAATCGGCAGATACTTCTCATGTCTCACTCAATAAATCGACCTCCTCCCCCCCCACCACCGGTCCCACACCCTCCTCCGATTATCCAGATAGACAAAATCGCCAATTCCAGTTCCACCACTCGTCCACTGCCGACAGATCCGACGAAGATTTACTCGATGACCGTCACGGTCTGGATCCCACTGCTATAACCCGCAGACACATCCATCCGGGTCCTGATCCTGCACTGAGGGAGAGGGATCACAGACTCAGCGCATTTTTGTTGCGATATCCATTGCCAGCTCCGTTAGACCAACATCAAGACCCATTTCATTCCGGTCGTGTGTTGCTTCCAAACCTACAATTCCCCCTCAATCATCGTTTCGACGGCGCCGGCTTTGCTTCCAGCTCACGTGCTCCAGCGGAAAGTAGGTACGGGCACAGCGAATATCGTGCCGCTGACGTCGAGAGGGACTTTCCCCGTTATCCTCTGGAACCATCCTCCCGGACTCAGGAGGTGGTTGAAACTTCAGCTTTTCCGTGGGATCGTCCGCAGAACGCACCGATCACAAGCGTTAACGGCGGTACATTCATTGCTGGAAATGTGAATAATATCCAACGGCATGGAGAAGCAGGTGAGTCTTGATAATGTCGTCATTCTGCGCTAAAGCTCAGTCCCAAAGGCCTGCATATTTTTCATCGTGCCATAGCAGGCGACGCCCTCTACGACTCTGCGGAAAGGTATCCGCAGCCTCGCTGTCATCCCGAGACACGGAAGCGATTGCTGAATATTCTGTGGAAATGGGCGTGTGGAAACGAACCACCTGAAAATTGGACATCCGGTGACCCGTCCGAGGATAGCGATGCCGCCTCTTCACCAGTGACTGAAAATCGACCAAGCAACGCGATTCTTTGGTTGCATGGCCCCGCAGGTTCAGGGAAATCCGCCGTAGCGCAGTCGTTTTGCCAGAAATTGGGAGATGAAAGTCGCCTTGGTGGAAGCTTCTTTTTCCAGCGTGGCCATCCATCTCGCGGGAATGCACAGAAGCTATTCCCCACCATTGCATACCAGCTGGCTCTCTTGCTTCCCGAATTGCGACAACTCATCTCACAGACGATCGAGAATGACCCTGCCATCGTCCAGAGGTCATTTCGCAACCAGCTTCAAGAACTGATCATCAAGCCATGTCTTAACAGTTCTCTTTCCTGGCCAGTTCCCGTGGTCATTGATGGCCTGGATGAATGCGATGGACAAGATATTCAGCGGGAAGTGTTGCAGTTAATTAGTGATGCAGTTTCCGGCGGACACCTTCCCGTTCTATTCTTCATTGCCAGCAGACCTGAATCGCACATTTGCGAGGCCTTCGCTAATCCAGGTTTAAACGGATTCCATCGACCGTTGAACATCAAGCAATCTTTTGAGGATGTCCGCACATATTTGCTAGATGAATTTAGTCGAATTCATCGAGATCATTGGACCATGGCCACGGTTCCATCTCCCTGGCCGACATCAGAAATTCTCGACGCGCTTGTGGCCAAATCATCCGGATACTTCATCTATGCGTCTACTGTTATCAAATTCGTCGACGATAAACAGTTTCGGCCGGTGGAGCGACTCGAGATCATCATGGGCATCAAGCACAGCTCCGCCTCACCGTTCAATCCTCTGGACGAGCTTTACCGCCAAATTCTGTGTGGTGTTCCCGCGGAGTTTCAGCCTCAACTCCTGGGAATCGCAGCAGATTTCAAATTATTCTGTTCCCAAATTGAACAGCTTTTTGAACTCGACGCGGGAAATGTCCGCTTAATTCTGCGAGGGCTGCAGTCTGTCATCGACGTGAGAGGGAAGGACTCGAATCCTATCGCATATCATGCATCATTTCTGGATTTCCTCGGGAATCCCTCATGATCCGGGCCATCTTGTGTTGGTGCCTCTCAGTGCCGCACAAATTTGACATGGCACTCACTCAAGGCACTATCCAGGCGTTTTATTTCGTGGTAATTTGTCCACTCAATCGCCAAAGAATTTCACCAAATTTATATCCAGGCCAAATGGGGCCGACAATGTCATCAAATATATAACCTCTTCCGAGCCGACGCCCGACCTTCTGCCACTTATCCTGCTCATAAACCCAGATTTTCTTTTCTTTGCCTTGCAGTCATTTAAATCAATCATGCATCTCATTACTTGGGTCAAAGTACGTTTCTGGGCTCAGTTGCCTGTACTCAACCTAATAATCTTGGTTCAGCCACTTGACACACTCCTTGAAGGCCCGGCTCGCCTTTGGGAGGAGTATGCTTTCATCTCATTGTGTGAGGAAGCTTGGGGTACAAATCAATCGATGACAGTCCAGCAATCAAACAACTGCGAAAACATTTTGTCGCAGATGTCTTCCCAGCTAAGGAGAATTCTCTATACTTATAGAGCCCTTTACTACCCTGGGTTCGAGTGTGTTTTATTCAGGATTCATCACTTGTTAGGCCTCTCATGGGACGAACTGAGGGCATCGATCTGTCCTCTGCACCGAATTCTAGGCAACGATACTGCACGGTTACGGGAGCTGATAGCTTTCAACGGGGGAGATACCCTCTTTGGAAGTCTTGATTATGACTCGTTACTGTTAGAACTTGCCAAGGGTTGTTTGCGTGCCATAGAAGCGATGATTGACGGCGAGATGCACTGGGCGATACTTGTGTGAGTTCGTCCTCTCCAGATTACGCAGCTTCTCCCTAAGCCTGAGAGCCTAGGCTGGTGGTAGTGTGTCAATGGGGATTCTTTTTAAGATCCTGTCCTCCTTCACTGGATCTTTTAGAGACTATGTCCAAAATCGGACCGGCCGCGATGGAGGAAAAGGCTTCGTGGAAGCGTAATGAAGACTTTTACCATGCCGTGCAATGGCTCAAGGTGGCACCGTATTCTTATGTTTTGTCATAGTGGATATTTATTTGGGACCTCGACCAATCTAGGCATTCCCTCAGCCCCCTATGAAATTGATCTCTCAATTTGAATCTCATTTGGACCCGGCATATATTTTCGATGACCACGTTCGGGATGACCAGGAGAAGATGTGGATGAAATGGTGCAAAGGGCATAAAAGATATGTAACACTATATGAACTTGAAGAGGGATGATCTGTCTCTCCATAATGAACATTGGAAACTTTCATCATCACATCAAGAGGCGTTCGCGCACAGGAGGAGGAGGAGGATGTATTACTGCGGAGGTCCCTAAAGGAACAAGAAGGTACTGTACCTACGTACACAGCATCCAAAATGTACGTTACAGTCATCAACGGTCACAGCGCTTTGGTAGCCTACCCACTTGATAGCAAATAGTCATCGCACGTGATCACGAATAGACTTGGTTGAAGGGCAGAAATCCTGAAGGCAACGGGGAAGTAACGAGGCGTCTCATCAAAGAGAGCCAAGACCTTGTACACGTACTTGGCAAACAGCTTCACCGCTTTGCGCGAGCGTACAAGCTTTAGCAGATTGCCGCGTGTTGTGCACTGATATCGGGATCACAACTGGCCAGAAGAGCCAAGAATTGCGACATCAATAGCACGAGGTAAGGGCTGAAAGTGCAGTCAAATAAAGCATGCACCTCGTCTTCAACGGCCCCCCTACAGAACCTACACAGGCGAAGATTGCGCGGTATCCTGGCCCTATATCGTAAAGTGTACCGGAGCCGCTCGACGCTGAGGTTGTGATCCCCGAGTAAGTTACACTGTCACACCACTGGATAGCATTAATATTGTGATGCAACCGCAATCTCAAATGCCTGGGCATGAGCATGTGTTGTAATCAGATTCCATATATATTATATTATCATCTAGCGTTCGGGAGCGCTCCGGTCACCAGCCTTTAGCTGAACTGCTAGATTGGATGCTTTCATGGTTCACATTGAACCAAAAATAAATGCACCATGTCAGGAAGATTATACATCGATGTCGTTATGACATCGTGCACTTCAGCATCAAAGAGTCGAACCTGTCATAGGAAGAACTCCTTGTACTGTTGAGTTTAGCGGCTTATAGCTAACGGTCTTCTCTTCACAGAATTAAGGATCATTGACTGCAACGGCTGTAGAAGATCGCCTCCCACATTGAGTTCACTACAGCACTCATCAAGACATGCCTGTGGTGAAGATAGTTGTCTCTTGTGGCAGTCAGAGGTGTCTCTCTTGCAGCTCGATATCCAGACCAGGCCTCAAGGCCGCAAATCTGGTGCCGCCGGGAATAGGGGCTACCGCCGGTGTCGGAAGACGACATCTGTACGGAGCGTCGCCGCAGCCCGACACATGCAGGACAGCCTTGCCAATAATAGCATGGGTCCGGAGATGCACGACATTTCTACACCGTGGTGCACCTTTGTATATGATCTGAGACATGTAGTACTCACCATTGCTGAGGAACGGCCGTGATTCTGGTCGTCCAAGGGCCGTCGTGGTATGCAGCAGAAAGACGACTTGAACACGTTGCATCGCCAGTCTCAGAGGATGGGGTGGCAATGGAACCGAATTCCTCATTGCCAGAAATAGGGGTTTTGCTGACGACGACGAAAGCAGGATTTGGACTGCGTAATAAGTCGGGGACAGTGTGTACCTTGCCGTAGACGAGGTTGCACACCGTTCGGGCAGGATCCAGATGAGCCAGAGCTGACGTGCACCATACACCACATCCGAGTTAATAGCCCTGATTTGAACCTGGGTAGGTGGGAGATCTTTCAGCCAGGAAAGTGGCAAAAAGGGGGAATGCATCAGATTGCGCTCACATTCGGCTGCAAAGAGTCGAACCCCGATCTTCAGCTTGCAGGATAGACAATATTAATATCAGGAGCTGACGTGCACCGTACACCACATCCGAGTTAATACCCTTCATTTGGAGCTGGGAAATTTGAGCATGGACACGACACGGCTCAAAAAAGAAATGCAGGTACTGCCATTCCATTCGGATGCAGGGAGTCGAACCCGGGTCTTCAGCCTGCAAGCAGTCAAATATTGACAGGGGCTGACGTGCACCGTACACCACATCCGATTTACCTTACTTCTTTTGACGCTAGGGAAGTAGCAGTATTTCAGCATGGACAAAAAAGAAAAGAAGACCTATTTGAACATTCGGATGCAGGGAGTCGAACCCTGTTCTGCAGCATTCAGCGAATAATAAAACTTGAACTGGGAGCTGGCGTGCACCGTGCACCACATCCGACTTACTTGCCTTCAACTGGAGTTGGGTAGATGTGGTATTGAGCGAGGAACTGTGCAAAAAACACGGAGACACATTGAATTCGGATGCAGGGAGTTGAACCCCGATTTCAGCATGGTAAATGGCCAGGAGCTGAGGTACGCCGTACACCACACCCGAGATATTCAATACATTCTGAACCTGGGTAAATGCGGTATTTTAGCATGGGTATGATCCAAAGAAAAAGGCGCCATCATTCCTAGCTCGGGGAGTCGAACCCCGGTCTTCAGCTTGAGTCTATGAAGGCGCAGGGAATTTATATTCAATGAGAAGCTGACGTGCACCGTACACCACATCTGAGTTATTCCATACCTTCTGAGACTGGGTACGTAGCAGCATTTTAGGATCAAAAAGAAAGTCATGGACTGCTCATTCGGATGCGGGGAGTCGAACCCCAGTCTTCAGCCTGCAACACAGCCAAAGATTATCGAGTAACAGGAGCTGCTGTGCGCTGTGCACCACATCCGAGTTGTCCTATATTATTTGGAGTTGGGTAATGTGAGCAAGGATGCGGCTGAAAAAAAAAGACCAATTGCAACATGTCCACTATAGCTAGTCAGATGCGGTCAGATCCTGGTCAGATCCTGGTCTTTAGGCGCTGCATTGAAAGAGCAAGATAAAGAGTTGAGGTCCACCATGCACCACATCCGAGTTATTCAATACCTTCTGAAGCTAGGTAAATGCGGTATTTCAACATGAGTGTGGCAAAAACGGATGTTCCAGGACAATTCGGATGCGGGGAGTCGTCCTTCAGCTCACATTGGTTGAACCTCATATCTGACAAGAAGCTAATGTGCACCCTGCACCACACCCGAGTTGCTTACCTTCATTTGAACCAGAGAACATGATAGTCGAGAGCAAACCGGGCCGGCACTATTTGCACATGTTTCGGCCTTCTTGGCGTCCTCGCGGTAGGAGGTATAGCACGCTGCTCAGCTCGCCCTTCTGCTCCTCCCCCCATGTCCTCCCCTCCCGGTAAATGCAGTCCCATTATCTGCACCCCACCCTTACTGACCCTTTACCAGCAAAATAATAGATACTTCATACGCCGCATACCTTCTAATGCCGCGCCCGTCTCTCTGGCTGCTCTGGCTGCTCCTGCTCCTCCTTCTCGCCCTCTGTGGGCTCGTTTACGCCCTCTACATCCTCCCGCACCGCCGCGCCGGCATCGCCCTTTTTCCCACCGCCGACCCCCGCCGCCCGCACCTCCGCCGTCCCATCGATCCCGCCGCTCCGCGGCACTACCGCGCGGCATTCGCCGGCCGGGGCGGCGCACGCGTGGACACGGACGACGACGCGACGCCGCTGCTAGACGTCTCCGACGCCACCAGCACCTGGCGCTCCATCTCCTCCATCTCCTCCTCCAGCTCGGGCGAGCTCGTCGATCTGGGGGCTGCCGCCGCACGACAACAATAACAATAATATCCCGATTAATATTTATAATGGTAACGCCAGCACGACCGACCCACCGCCCAAGGCGCATCCGACGCGCACGTCGTTTGAGCGGGACTGCGAGCGCGAGCACGACGGGCATGTTCTGGTCGATTTATCCTCCCCGCATGACGAGCAGATGCTCGTGGACGTGTCCGTGCCGTTGTCCCCCGCACCCGGGAAAAGCTACGACACGAAGGGCAAGGGCAGGGACACCGTCGATGCGTTCCCCGTCGTCTCCCCGCCCCGCACACCCCTCCTTATATCCTACCCCCTCCCTGTCCCACGCTCCTTACATCCCACCCGGTCCTCGCTCCCTCCCTATATCCCCTCTCCCCTTTCTCCTTCTCCCTCCCACCATCCTACTAACGCCATCACCCCCCGCAGAATACCGAAAGCGCGCAAGACGATGAAGAACCAGGTGATCGCGCAGATCTCTCAGCGCTTCGCGCCGAAGATTCTGGGTATTAAGAAGGTGTGTTTCTTCTTTTCCGTGGACGCTGTTAGGGGTTTTCTTTGGGGGGTGGAGATGGGATGTGGGCTTTGTGGACCGCGCTTGCGCTGTCACGTCGGCGTCGTGTCGCGCGCTCGGAGTGGCTGCGTGTTATATGAACTGGGCTCGTGTATGTGCGCCATATCGGATGGGCCTGCGTGAGCTTCTCCGCGTCGTTTCGTGCGCTGCGGTATACGCCACGTTCGTCGACGAGACAAGCGCGCCGTTCCGCGGAGCCATTGGGGCGGCGGGCGGGCTCTCCTTGCGATGGGCCCTGCGCCGCACCGCCCACGCTTTTGGTGGCTTCCTTGCGCGGCGTGGCGGTCCCCGCCGTGCGCGTCGTAGCGGCTGGCCCAATCCGTAGGCAACATCGTCCACGCAGACATTGGCAACGTCCTCAACGCAGACGTTACGGTGTGCTGCGCGGGCTACGTTCTGCGCCAGCCGGTAGTTTATTGCGCCGCCGAGCTCTAGCCGCAGTGCGCCTCTGTGCCCCAGCCGGTAGTTGCGGGCGGCTCGTCCGTTCTCCGGTGCGAGTCGTGGCCGACTTGCGCGTAGGCGACATTGTCGACGTGGACGTATGCCAGTAGTCGTGGGCGGCTGCGTTAGACAAGGGCGTTTGTGCATTCTATGCTGCAGTAAATCGGCGAGCCGTAGCGCGCGGTGCCGTGGATGTGCCTGACGCTGTCGACGTGGACGTACGCCAGTAGGATGTGCTACCCGCGCATTTTTCGTTGGGTAGACTTTTTCGGAGCGTCCCCGCTTTGTTTTTTGCTCCATGAGCTGGGTGCGGCGTCTCCTGCGTGCCCCTGTGCTTTGGTCCTGTGCTTCTGCGAGTGGCAGCGGAGTGGGGCGGATGCGACGGTATGATGTAGCTGGTAGATGCGTACATGACTTGTGTAGAGCGCCCAGTTTCCTCTATTCTCTCTTTCTTTTACATCCTCCTCATTTACATCTCGCTCTCCTCCCTTCCCTGCATCACTTTCTCTCCTCGTCTTACTCACACTTCCCTCTCCCTATACATGCACACACTCGATCGCTTGCTATGCTAATTAATTACCTACCCACCCACTTACACGCGCGAGAGAATGAAGAATGAATGGTTGTTGCAATGTACATTCATACACAGTGTGTCGCCGACCTGCATACAGTGTTGATAGGTGATAATGCCGGGGCGGGTGCGGTGCGTGCAGTAGCTTCCTCCACTTCTTCCCTATAACTATTATACGTCCCAACACACTCTCTCTTCGATCATAGAGCGTCTTCATCCCCTGCTTTCTTGCCTCGACCTTTGGATATAGGCTTAGACGATTGTCTTCTAGAATCAAGTTCCCGGATAAACTTTAACGCATCACACGGTCGGCGGGCTAACCGTTTCGACCGACGCGCCCATGACTTCCTTACATCCTTGCGGTAAGTTATGTTTTGCCACCTCGCTTCGGACCCGCGCCTCAGTCTCTTCTCCCTTGTGAGCAGTGTCGGGATGGCCTGAGTGGATGGTTGAAACACATACCTTCAAGCTATCTGGCTGTTTATTAAATCTGTAGTTTAAATAGACATGTAAATTCTACTGAAATTCACATCCTGAAACTGGATGGCTGAAACACATAGTTTCCGCTTGTCTATTAAATCTGTAGTTTAAATAGACATGGCTATTGTCACGGTGAAAGGTGTTCTTATTCTTGACAAATCACTGGCGAGGCGGAAATGTAACAGAAACTGGGTGACTTTCCATAACGATAAAATAGTCCCTGAGCAATATCCGAGCTTGTTTGAGAGTGCCATTGATGGAATCAAATCAGTTAGTCGTAATATTCTTGTGGGAAGCACAACAAAATATTATTTGCCTCATCCACCCATATCTATTGCTTTCTTGTCTGGTTCCATGAGCACCACATCTTCACGTCGCCATACTCTGCTGGAGAATAATCATTGGGAGCTTCGTGGCTTAGACGTCGCAAGACACGTAACGGACGCGCCGAGACGCGTCGCGGGCGTACATGAACGCGTGGATGATGCCCAGGAGGCTGAGACCCCGCAGCGCAGAAGTGTTTTTGGACGTTTCAGACTCGCAAAGGCATACTCCACGTTATTCATGCCCCAATTGTGGAAGGATTTGACCCAAATGGGTTATTCAGGAAATTCTGCGTCTATTGGAATCTGTTCGGGGGGTCGGTGCCCCCTGGATAGATTTCTACAGATTCAAATAGGTTCACAATAAATCGTGTACGTTAAAAGTGATGGGGTCCTGACAGCTGTCTCGGCATCGCGGCGGAAATTGCTCAAATACTCCCCAGGAATATTTTATCGTTATGGAAAGTCACCCACTACTAATTTAACCGAAAAAATAAACTAATAAATTTGTGCCTAATTTTGGGCCAACTAAATGTTTGGCTTGCCTGGGCCGCGTGATAGATATCGGAACTCATGGCAGGCGCTCCTTGATTAACGAATGAAATGTGTATGGTGGTTCACAAAGTAACTTATACAAATTAACTTAGCCATATAAAATTTACTTTACTTTACTTTGGCTGAGTAAGTTAATTTGTCAAGTAAAGTTAAGTGTTAGCTGAGGCAAGACGAGCTTGTGAGTTGGCCTCAGTGTTAGGCAAGCTAGATAAGATTAGATAGGACTCATCATGCACAGCCACCTGTCATCGCGCTTTTGCTCTTGATCTCTCAATCCGCAAAACCTCTACGTCTTTTCCTCGCGCAATATCGCTCGGAACCCTCCAATTCTTTCTGCCCCACCCTCACGTCCCTTCTTTTTTTGTAGCTTACGCAAAGGTTGCTACGGGTCTCCTTCCGCTTTTCGGACCCGGGCTGCTCTCTGTGTACGAGTTTGGCCGCGCCCGCGAGCCGTTCCTTCCCGACTCGGACTTCCCCGCATTGCAATGCCCGAAATTCCCCGAGTCGGCCGGGCGCAGCCAAACCCCCCCACACTCACACACACCAGAGCCACGCCTCACTGTATTAGTCTTGCACAAATATCTAGAGTATCAATTATACTACTAGATATTCACCCGTCCTTTATTCCCTC